ACGGAGTCCTCGACTCCCACGCCCCCCCCACCCACACACACACACCCTAACCCGTTAGACCCTGCTCCCCTCCCAGAGACCAGGGACAGGACCCAGGAGTCCTGGCTCCCAGCCCCCCCAATCCACTAGACTCTGCCTAGTACAGCCAACACATTTCTCCCAGAGAGCAGCTTCTCCTCATGAGCCCCCCCTGGAGGGAAATGGGGGTGGGGAGGGGTCTTGCGAGCCCCCAATAGGGTGGGAAGTAGTTGGGGGCAACCGATAAGGTCCAGGGGGTGTCATGGAGAAGGGGGACCACGGGGATGGGACGATCCATATTGTAACAGCCCCATCCCGCGCTCCGGGGGCAGATCTAAACTCGAGAACACCCTGCTCCCCACTTGGAAATACCAGCGTCCAGCGCCCAGCCCTCCGCCCCACACTCTGCTTGCCAAGGGCCCCAGCCGTCACTGGCCACAAAGCACGGCAGGCCTGAGCCAGTGGCATTCCCGCACCCGAGGGAGGATCGGGCCCATGGCTCGGACCCCCCCCCCCCAAAAAAAAACGAGCTGGGCAGGGAGAGCCCGGTGCAAAGCCCACACTGGGCTCCTGTCCCCCCCCAACGCCCTGCAAAGAGCACCTGGGGCCGGGGCAGGACCCCTGCTTGCCAGCCTCTGCTTCTCCTTTCTGTGTAGGGGGCAGCGTCACGCCCCCATCGCCACACCCACAGAGCCAGCCAGGGCATTGTCCTACCCCCCCCCCCCCGAGCTCTGCTGGCTCCACGGGCCCCCTCTGGGCTGTGCCAGGCTGTGGGCTGCTCTAAATCCACCCTGCACGGGCGGGGGGGGGGGGTGAGCCTGCGGGGGATGGGCAAGGGTGCAGCGAGGGGACCTGAGAAGGGGAGCGGTTCCCCGCCTGCTCTCATCCTAGCCGGGGCGGGCACAGGTGGCACACGGGGTCTGTCGCCCGTCCATCCCCCCAGCACCCGGCCTGGAGCCAGGGCATGGGACGGGTCCATTCAAAACCCCGGGCACCCACTTATGGCCAGGGTGGGGGAGCCCTGGGACTTGGATTGGGGGGTCTCCACCCTTTACATCTCTGAGCCTCCCCCACATAACGCCCCCCCAATGTCCCCTCTCCAAAAACATCCCTGCTCCCCAGACCCCGATCTCCTGGGTCCCTGACTCCGATACCCCCACCCCGCCCTCCCCAGTCCCCGACAGCCGCATGCCCCACGTCCACCTGCTACGGTGCCCCCCGGGAGTTATGGCTCCCCCACCCCGGTGACTTGGGGGGCGCTGGCATCTTCCACCCCCCCATCGCCCAGTCACTGGGGGGCACTGCCAGCTCCTGCCCCCTCCCCACTGCGGTCATGGGGGGGCGCTGCCAGGTCCCCCCCCCCCAGCCCCACTCACACTTCGGTGAAGTTCTCCGTCCCCACCAGCTCGCCCAGCCCGCGGACGCGGTTGGGCTCCAGGCACTGGAGCGAGGTGGCCCCGTAACACCTGCACGCCCCGGGGCAGGGGGCGGCCCAGCCCGGGGCCAGGAGCTGCCAGGCCAGCAGCAGCCAGGCGGGGCAGCAGCCCGGAGCCGGGGGCATCCTGCGGGCACCGGGCATCGCGCTCCGCACCTCGCCCGGCACCGGCTGGGAGCGTGTGCGCGGCGAGGCGCCCGGCTTAAAGGCAGAGGCAGGAGCGGGCTGGGCGGGGCGGAGCCTGCGTCCCCCCAACACGCCCCCCCAGGGCCGCCCGGCGGTGGAGGCTGAGGGCTGGGGCTGGCCGGGGAGCCCGGCGCTGGCTCCAACCCCCCCGGGGGCGCAGCGGGGATGGAGCAGAAGAGACGGGATCGGCCAGGAGCCAGCGTCAACCAGCCCGATCGGCAACCCGGCCGGACAGCCAAGGGTGGGCTGGCAGGGGCTGCGGGTCCGGAGTGAGGGGCACCATCAGAGCTCCGGGGGGGGGGGGATCCCAGGGCTGGGCTGGCAGGGGCTGCGGGTCGGGAGTGAGGGGCACCATCAGAGCTCCGGGGGGGGGGGGATCCCAGGGCTGGGCTGGCAGGGGCTGCGGGTCGGGAGTGAGGGGCAC